TTTCTCTCAGCAAACACTCAGAACAAGAAAGAAAAAAATGGGATCACAACAACTACTGATTCAGTAGGACTGGACGAGAGCCTGAGAGTGCATTTCCTGCTAGCTCTCTCATCATGCTGAGGCTGTAGAACCAGTAGCTTTACTTTAGCAGTAAAGCTTCAGGACACCAATTCCCTCTCCCAAGGAGCTCTTGATTAGGCTGGCTTTATTTTTGAAGTTTCTGTTGGAGACTTCCTAGGAAATGGGTTTATGTTTACTTTCCTTATCTAGAGGACTTTATCACTCTACAGATTCTCCCTTCTTGACATAGTGGTCACCAATATCCTAGGGAATGAAAACACAACCTCAGGTGGAAAATCTCTTACATTTCATTTAATAGGAAGGTTTGATAGACCAAGATAAATGGGAGGTATCTTGTAGAGTAGGAGCTTGAGGATTAATTATCAGCAGAATACTTTTTACTACAAAACACTTTCCTAGTGCTCAGCCATGTCTTTTTATTTCTGGGATCACTAATCTCTCCCGACTCTGGACCTTAGCTTTTTGGGGTAAGAGTAAAATGAATACCAGCTCTACCAATCAGAGGTTCTGACTTCCTGAATCCTACCTTCATCATGTCATCACCACCAGTATCCTTAGCTATCTCCCTACTACCTGTGACTTTATTTAAGAGATAACAACAACAGGACAGTCTAGCTACAACAAAAACAAAAATATGTAACTGTGGGTGACAAATTTCAATGTGGTAGCTTTAACACCAAGGCTGGATTACAATCTTGCAGCCCTTACAATTAAGTCTAGTCAACTCCTACGTGGTTACTGCCTCTCACTGGCTCTGTAGGACACCACATTGACAGTAGCTTTGGGGGCTATTTAATTTCTTTTGCCTTAGAAATTGACATTCCATGATCTATGGATGAATCTTTCTCTGTCTTTTCAAAAGGTGACACTGGCTCCTACAATGATGCAGCAGTAGGAAAAAAAAAAAATCCTCTGTAATATAATCCAGAAAGGCAAATTTTCTGGTTTGAGTCCAGATACCACCCTGTGTACACTGAGCACACTCTTCTGCCTGACTGAGGGCTAGCTGAGGCTGGGATAGATCATGGTGTCAGGACCCTGATGGGGATGATCTCTTTATGTGTTTCTATCTGTCTGTCTCTCTTTCGTGGTATAATAATAAAAAACATTTTGGAGCTGGAAAATGGCATGGTAGTTGAGGTCCTAGATTCCCACATGGCTGACCACAGTTCAAGTCCCAGACTTGGAGGCTTGCTCTCTCATTTTCTCTCTCTCTCTCTGGTCAAATCAAAAGTAATAATAATAAATACAAGTAGATAAATAATTCTAAAAAACACTTTTGAAGTCTGTATACTGCCAGATAGTTTCTAAAACAACTATAAGTCTTCATCTATTCTTGACTTTGAAACCTATGTTCATGACTCTGAAATTACTTTTCCTCTTACTTAATTTTTAAGTTATTGTTCCAAGATAAAGGTTTTATAATAAGTAATTCAAACTACAAATATTCTGAACTTACTTGTTCCTGTGTAAAATGCAGTAATCATTAGAAATTTAGTTTAGCAGCTCTTTTTAAAATAATTATTTATTTTATTGTATTTATTATTTTTTTAAATTTGTTATAGGGTAACATATTTCTCTTACCAGAAAAAGGAAAGAGAGAGAGAGAGAGAGAGAGAGAGAGAATGAGAGAGAGAGCACAAGAGCAAGAAAGTGAAAAAGCAAGTTGCCGGGTCCAGGACTCGAACCACAGTCAGCCATGTGGGAGTCAAGCACCTTGCCACCTGCTGGCCCAATCAGCATTTTTTTAATATATTTTTTTTCTATAGGTTATATGTGCTCACTTGGCAGGCAGAGAGAGACAGAGAGACAGAAAGTGAGAGATCATCCCCCAGTGGGGATAGGCACACTATAATCCCTTCTCTTCAATTTTACTCTCAGGATTTGGGGTATGCACACACATGCATCCTACATGAGTTTCAAGCCACTGGGTCTGGAACTTGAACCACAGTCAAATACTTTTGGAAGTCTAGCTCCTAAAGTATTATGCCACTTACTGACTCTCCATATGCTCTTTTTTTAACAGGTGAATTTATTTATTTCATGAAAGACAGAGAGAAGGATCCCCAAAAGGGGTCCCATATCACAAACAACCTCCAATCCCCACCAGCCCAGACCATTGGCATGGCAAATGTCCATATTCAGAAAGGACGTAGGACACAAACGCAGGTCAGTTTCACGAGGCTCCAGTTCCATGACCACTGCACCACTACCTGGTCCATTTCATCATCTCTTTTTCAGTCATCTTCGTTCCTTTGGTGGATGTGTTTAGAATTAGCTATTGAATTTTAAATCACGCTGAAATTCATCATGGATCAGAACATGGTATAATATTTCTAATCAGTGATATATGAGATTAGGGTAGATTTTTTACACTTATTTTCACAGTTATTATTTCAAACTATTTTGGCTTATAGCCTATGGGTTGCTGCAATTTGAACGACAGATAGTATAAAGTTCTCAAGTGATCCCTCAGCTCTCTGTATTACACATCACTCTCAGACCAACAATCCAGGTGCATTCAACATGTAACTCTGTTCCTGTAACTCAACACACGTTTGTTTTGGTACTTCTATTATACCTGGCTGGTAGAAAACATACTAACAATTACTGCAGTGTTCTTTACTTCCTCAGCATTTATGTCAGCTCTGAGAGGTGGCCGCTCATTGGTCAAGGCTGTGAAAAGAAACTTGACGTTGAGATATATGTGCTCAATGATTGATTATCTGTGAGAGACCTACACAACCTGTACATATTCTACAGCTACTTTCTGTTCTCATTATGAAAGTGAGCCACCAGGGGACCAGCAGGTGGCATAAGGGTTATGTCACTAGACTCCCACGTAGTGGACCACAGTTCGAGTCCTGGAGCTGGTGACTTAAAACTCACACCTGGTGTGTGTCCAAAATCCCAAGAGAAGATTGAAGGAGAAGGAATTATGGCATGACCACCTTCCTGGGGTTGATGTCTCACTTTCTATCTCTTTGTCTCTCTGGTGAACATAGACACCTTATAGCAAAAATCTCTTTATATAAAAAAAAAAGTGGGCCATCAGATCTTTGTCAAATTGGTCATGATCCAGTCTACCAGGATTGATCATGCATGCAATTAATATTATTATGGGCCCTAGTGCCATACCTGACATTCATATTAACTTAATGAATGATAGCTATTATGGTTATGTCTCAAGAGAATTAATCATGTTGAAATGCTCAATTAGAACCGTCATTTTAAATTCACTGCACTAGATTCTATCTCTTAATCTTTAGTGCTGGTAGCTATGGCAAAAATGTAGACTCAAACTAATCTTTAATATTAGAATACTCTTTTTCAAATAAAGTGGGGAAGGGACCAGCAGTTAGCGTAATAGCTATGTCACTGGACTCCCACGTAGTTGACCATGGTTCGCGTCCTAGACCCAGTGGCTTCAAACTCACGCCGGGCACATGTTTGTGAGTGCCCAAGATCCCGAGAGGAGAACAGAGGAGAAGGGATTGCGGTGTGGCCATCCCCCCGGGGGGTGATTTCTTGCTTTCTGTCTCTCTGTCTCTCTCTGTCTGGCGAGTGCATGTGCCCTATAGCAAAAAACTCTCCAAAAAAAAAGAAAAAAATAAAAGAAATAAAGTGGGGAAAAAGATACTTTAAGTCTGAAAATTAATCTGTCAGTTGTTAGTATTTATATCATCAAGTTCCTAAGAGATTACAGGAACATTAAAATAATTATTTTATCTTTATTCTTAGATACCTACCTGGTGTCCTTCCTTTCTCTTTTCCTCTTGAAAACTTGACTGTTTTACTTAGAAGAAAACTGGTTTATCTGCTTTTCTTTTCAGCTTATAAGCAGATGGTCTATCTGCTCAGAATTCTTCCCCCAGATATAAGCAAAGCATTCAGAGTAAAATTCGTTCCCAGCCTGGTGGCAATGGAGCTCACACATAAAGCCTATCAAGTAAGGATTCCAGTTTAAATTAGATGTGATCAAACTTGAAGCCAAAGTCATGTTGACATGTTCTCTTTCTTTACAATGTACACCTACACTGTGTAATATAGTAGCCATTAAACTGTTCGATTCATTGTACCTCAACAGTGAAATGAAGACATAACATGAACTAAAATTGGAAAAGCAGTTGTGTTCAGTTTTACTACCTACAGTTCAAGTGCTCAATAATCCTATGTACTATGCTATTTTAATCATTGTATGTTTTAGGACATCTTCAATATTACCAAAATTTCTATTGTAAAATTCTGGTCTATACAGTTATAGTAACATTTCTGTGATTTAGATATTTCTCCTATTTTGAAGATGTATTAAGTAAATAGATAATTTCAAAAAAGAACTTTATATTATCTATTTTAAACTGGAAACTTAAGGTTTGAATTCAACTTAATTTTACTGTAAAGAAAATATTTTAAAGTACATTAGGGGCACATACATCTTTTCACTTCCTTAAATATGGTCATCTATCTGATATAATCTTCATATGTCCCATTTTTATTTCATTTTTAATTGGCATAAAATACAATAGTTATTGAGTATAATTTGATATTTTAATACAACTATACAATGTGCAAAGATGAAATCTGGATAATTAGTATAGCATCACCAAACATTTATCATATTTTTTATTGTGAGAATATTCAAAATCCTTTCTTCCTGACAGATTCAATCAGCAATTCCCAGCAAACTTATAAAAATCTCAAATGGAGTCACTCTATCTCTAGCCCTGAGAACAAATCATTTCAAGGACACAGGTCAGAATAAAATTGATGGCAGAGGATGTACTAATTACAAATAAAGTTTGTTTTTAAATCAAGCATTATGAACTTGAGGCTAAACCTCTCCTACTATTGAAATGTCTTTTGTATTGATATTGTTTAATATTGCTGTTGCTGCTTTTTTTTTAAAAGACCTGAGTACCTCAATATCTTTTCAGAAGAAAAAATCTGATTATTCTGCTACGAATCTGTTGGGTCTTGACACTATAGATAATTGGATTCATCAGTGGTGGGAAAAGGATGTAGATGTTTCCCATAAGGACATGGACGATGGGAGAGAGATGCTTGCCAAAACGGTGCACCATTGTTAAGCTAATAATGGGGATGTAGAACACGAGGACAGCACAGACGTGGGAGACGCAGGTCTGAAAGGACTTGTGCCGCTCCTCCTGAGAGGCAATTGCCAAGACTGACTTAAGAATCAGGATGTAGGAAAAGAGGATGAGTACAGCGTCCAACAGCAGTGTGCAAATGACCAGCATCAGGGCATAGTAGCTATTAGCACGGACGTCTGAACAGGCTAGGCGGAGAAGATCCTGATGTAGGCAGAAAGAGTGAGAGAGGGTATGGGGACGACAGTAATTGAAGAATTTCAGACGAATGATAGGGGGTGTGATAAAGAAGAAGCTCCTACCTACTATGGTGAACCCAATTTTGATAATCCTGGAGGTAGTCAGGATGGAGGAATATCGCAGTGGGTTGCAAATTGCAACATACCGGTCAAAGGCCATCGCGAGGAGAACAGAAGACTCCATGAAGGACAGACCATGGATGAAATAGGCCTGGGCAATGCAGGAATCCAAGCTGACTTCTTGAATGAGCCCCCAAAGGATCCCCAGAACTGTGTGCACTGTGGACAGCCCCATGCACAGATCAGTTAGGGCCAGCATGGCCAGAAAGTAGAACATGGGCTGGTGTAGGCTTGGCTCAGTCCAGACCACATGGAGAACCATGCAATTGCCCAAAAGCACCATGGCATAGATAACAGAGAAGGGGAGAGAGAGCCAGGGATATTGTTGTTCCAGGCCAGAAAATCCAGTGAGGAGAAACAAAGAGGAATTTGTGTAGAGGCTTACTGTAGCAGGCATTCTGAAACTGAGATACTGAGAATACATCTCCAAGGAAAAGTTCCAGTTTTAGATAGATTAGATAAAATATCCAAGAAAACAAAATCACCCTAGCAATTAACTAATTTCATACAATATATCTGAGAAACTCTTTTCTTAAGAGGCATAATCTCTGCTGCCTGGAAGAAAAAGCTATCCTGGTGTCATTATTCATCCACTAGCAGGCCATGGATACTTTCTCAAAAGCCACACATGAAAGCAAATCAGAAAAAATAAAATAGGAAGAAGAAGTTGATTTTAAGAAAAGATATTTTTTTCCTGATAAATCTTTACAGGATAGTGATGAGAATAATATAACAGCAAAGTTTTTATTCACCAAGGTCTCAAAAATTTACTTCTCTTCCTCCAGTTCATTAAGAATTTGAAGTGAGCAGCAATCTTTGAGTTTTAAGCATCATGCATCCATTAAACTAGTTGCTCTTAGTTCAAATATAAAAATTAAATTTTCAATTATTCAATTTTCTTTTGTATGCAAATGTACTTTTCCTCCAAAGAGTATTTAGGGAAGAAATTCTTGTTTTCTACCACTCCAGATTATACAGCCAGGCACTGCTCTAATTTTTTCTGGGTGAGAAGCAGAGGGGGATATTTATGCTGGAGGCCTCTGGCAAATGATCTCCCACAGGAACTCTAACCGCATGAGGTGTGAGCTCACCTATGCCCTTGTGATGTAGAGACTGGAATTGTATAGTCTTATACTGTGATACCAACCCAGTCTTCCTCCTCCATATTTATTCATTCAGCTAACCAATTGGTTAAATGTTTGTTTAACCTGAATTTTTTCACTAGATTGGGCAATTTTATTTATTTTCATCCTTGGAATTTACCATTCTATAGATCAGATGGCCAACTGTGAAGAGCCACCCCTGTAACCTCAAAAAACCCTTTTTATCGAACAATCAATAGGTTTCTTCACATTATTTTCCTGCTTTAACTTCCAGTCCTGGGAATTATCAGAAAATATTTAAATACTCTATTCAGAGAAGAGTTCACAAGTCAATACTCACATTTGAATCCAACATGTTAATTGTCCTAGTCTTCATTTCTGTCATACTAACCTCGCCACACAGTTCTTCAGACTTTCTTTTCAATGTATTCTGTATACTTTTCTAATCTTTTCTAAGATTCTACTGTTATTTCTCTTCTTACTCCCTCTCAGTATTGTACAACTTAGCTCACTAATTTCAATACATTTTCCCCCTTGAATCTTTGAAACTTTTTGTTCCCTGCAAAAAAGCAAAACCAAAAAACACCAGTCATGTACATTTATCTGCCCCCACTTAACAGTATCCAATTCACTTCTTTCATAAGTCATCTTTTCTTTTCTTTCTTTAAAGAGTTTTTGCCTTAGGGCATGTGTACTCTCCAGATAGGGGGGGAGAGAGAGAGAGAGAGAGAGAGAGAGAAACAGAGAGAGAGAGAGAGAGAAAGCCAGAGACAGTGAGAGGAAAAGTGAAAAATCACCCCACTGGGGGAGTTGGCCATGTGCAATTCCTTCTCCTTCATTCTCCTCCTGGGATCTTGAGCATGCACACACATGTTCTCCAGTGGGATTTTCAAGCCACCATGTCTGGGACCCACACCATAGTCTACCATGTGGGAGTCCAACAACATAACCGCTACGCCATCTCTGGCCCCACGTAAGTTTTCTTTAGGAGTTCTCTCTGCCTAAGATTTATCTTCCTTTTTCCTGCCCATTATGAAATAATTTTACATTTTCTTTTGCAGCTAATTCATCCATAACTTTTTGGAAGTCCCTTAAATAAAACAGAGTTTTCTGTATATCTATCATGTTGATACATCTTTATTTCAAAGTTATGTATTTATTCAATACATAATTTGATATTTACTAGTTAAATATTTAACTATTGACTCCATTGCACATAGAAGTCTATGCTCCCTGAAAGTGTAAATACTGGCAATTTTTATATTTGAGTTTAAAATTTGCATCTTGATGTCATGGTGTTCTTGGAAACTCAATTTATGTGTACTATTGCCTAATTACTATCTTATCTTTATCTGCATGTTTACTCTCAAAGTAAGTATGGTGCGAATACAATACTTGGTTATTTCATAAAATCTATTTTCTCCCCGGAGTAAGAACTAAAAGAGGTTGTCATTGATAAAGCCAACAAAGAAGAAAGAAGTCATTTATGCCAAGTGTATCAACTTCTCTACCTGTATTAAAAGAGAAAATTGGGACCAGCAGTTAGCGTAATGGCTATGTCACTGGACTCCCACGTAGTCGATCGTGGTTCGAGTCCCAGACCCAGTGGCTTAAACTCATGCCTGGCGGGTGTGCATGTGTGCCCAAGATCCCAAGAGGAGAATGGAGTAGAAGGGATTGCAGAGTGGCCATCCCCACAGGTGGGTGATTTATGGCTTTCTGTCTCTCTGTCTCTTTCTGCCTGTCTAGCGAGCGCACGCGCCCTATAGCAAAAACCTTTCAAAAAAGAAAAAAAAAGAGGAAATGATCCACATGCATGATTCTTATTTCTGTCCTTTGGAAATAATCATCCATGTGATTATGTGCCCCATTTCTTGGATTAGGGGGGTAATAACTAATAGTCCCTCCTTTCTCAATTTAAATATATACAAGAACTCTGTTGCATCCAGAAGTCACTTTCTTTATAATCATAATGAATGAAAATATCCATTGGAATATTCTATTTTTTGTTTGTTTGTTTGTTTGTTTTTACAGAGGTTTTTGCTATAGGGCATGTGCTCACCAGAAAGACAGAGAGAGACAGAAAGATAGAAAGCCAGAAATCACCCCCAGGGGGATGGCCACGCTGCAATCCCTTCTCCTCCATTCTCCTTTTGGGATCTTGGGCATGCACGCACACGTGCCTGGTGTGAGTTTAAGCCACTGGTCCGGGACTCAAACCGCGGTCGGCTACATGGGAGTTCAGCGACATAGCCATCATGCTAACTGCTGGTCCGGAATATTCAAGTTTTTACTTCTTATTTTCTCTCTCTCTATATATATATATATCTTTCTTTCTTTATATATGTGAGGCATATAATTTTATATTACATAAAATATATATAGATATATATAGAGAATTATATATATGTGCACATATAGAGAGAGAATATATATATATGTATGTGTATATATATTATATTTTATCACTTTGCATCTTCCAGCATAATTTCTGAATGGCACTCATGGATAATGCTGTGAATAGTTCATTACATAGCCCCTCTTCACAGGTTGTTTCTCTAATGGTTCTTTGGACACCAGTAGGGGGCAGAAGTGCTCCACTGATTTTTTTCTTTCCCTCTTCTCAAGGATGCATGAAGAAGCTTTGTTTTAGAAATGGATATATGGATAGATAGATAGAGAGTCAGGCTTTTTAGGATTTTGTCATAACTGAAAAGTTAAGAACCTTCTCTAAGGCTTGGAACCAAAGGTCTTCTAAAGACCTGTGTGTTTAGAGGTTCCAGATATGCTAGTATTATAATTTATTCACCTCTAACTCAAAGTAGGCTTAAAATTCCAGTTTGCAATGGTTATGATTTAATTTTATAAATGGTTTTTTGATTATGTTATATTTATTTCAACAAACATATAAAATATATTCAATAAATATATAAAAAACAATCAAATATATTTTATTTATTCATTTATTTTATAACAGATTTTATTAGATATGTTAAAAGATGCCTGTAAGTCATACTACCATTATGACTGAAATATTAAAAATTATTTTTCATAACTTGGGTGTGTGATAAAAATATATGATATATCTCTTTAATAGTGGCCATCTGAGTATTTCAGAAGTTACCATCAAGATTTATATGACTTAATTGAGCTATGGCATAAATAATCTTTCTCTCAAGGAAATTTAACCCTTTCGTTTTTTTTGTTTTGTTTTGGGTTTTTTTTGTTAGAGATTTTTCCTATAAGGTGTGTGCACTCACTGGGAAGAGAGAGAGAGAGACAGAAAGCAAGAAATCACCCCCTAGGGGGGAGGGCCACGCCACAATCCCTTCTCCTCCATGGATCTTGGGCACACACGCACATGCATCCTGTGTGTTTCAAGCTGCTGTATCCGGGACTAGAGTCGTGATCGACTACATGGGAGTCCAGCAGCATACCCATTATGCCATCTGTTGGCCCTACTCTTTGTTGGCTTTTATACTTCCTCTTCAAATAAGAAAACATAAAGTATCTTTTTTAAAAATTGCATTAAAAAATGAGCAAAAAGTGAAAGATAAAAACAAGCAGAGGCCGTGTTCTGTAACTTAGTGGTTAAAGGAGCTGGAACCCACACAGCTGATTCAATTGGAATTCTGGCTCTAGTGTCTTGAAAACCACATTGGGCAAGTTTGCAGGCATGTTCTAAATCCTGACAATGCTGAGAAATGGAGAAGGGCTTGTGACTTGAACATGCCCCATTGGTTAGTGCATTTCCTTTTCTCCCTCTCTCTCTCTCTCTTTCTTTCTGCCCTCTGGCTATTAAAATAGAAAAAAGAAAGGAAAAAAGCAGAAATGGGCATAAGGAGTAACAAATCCATCTGTTTTAAATTTTTAAAATTTATTTTAATTGACAAATACATATGTGTATACTTATGGAGTACAATGTGATATTTTTACATATGTATATATCCACTGAAAATTCAAGCAATTATTCCTTCATTCTAACTGAAACTGCACCCTGTGATTAATGTCTCCTTTTTCCTTGTCTTTCCGACTAACCATCCTCTAGCCCCAGCTTCCAGTTACCACCTTTCTACTCTTTATTTCTAATCCACTGACTTAAAAAAAATCCATCTTTAATTATACTAAAGTGAGCTTTTGAATTTATGAGAATAAAAACTTAAAGTATTACATGTATTTAATATTATCCCCTGAAAATTCCAGGTAGGCCAAGATAATATATTAATTCAGAAAATTCATTTTCAAGATAGAAGAATTTGCAGGGACTCACTAGGAAACTGAGTATCAATGTGCAAGAATACTA